GAAGCAAAAATGCAAACCTGCCTTTCTTTCCAATGGGACCAAGCACTTCATATACTCCAGTTAAAAAAAAAAATCACTTTATACCCTGAAATAAGCCCAAAATAACATGACCATCCTGTCTGTAGGTTTGGTCTCCAAAATCATAAAACTTTGAAAATGTCCTATAAACCTGGACTCCCTAAAATTTTTTTTTACCATGATTGCTTACCATGGGAATGTCTGAAGATAAATCATGACTTTGGGGAATATGACCATCATGTGAGAAAGCTGTTTTCAACCATGAACAACAGACTATGTGCATTTGAGAATCCTGGAAACTATCTGGGGGCATTGTCCTTGAAGTTTTTATTGTGTTTTTATTTGATGAACCAATCTTCTGAAGCCTGGCTCCCTTGAATTCTCTTGCAAGTAAACATTTCCTTTTCTTTTCTAAAGGCTCCTCTCGAAGTCTTCATCCGAAGTACACATCAAGTATAGATTGCCACTCTTTACTATTTCCACTGAAGCGTGTGTAACACACACTCTGAGCTGGCACAATTTATGGGACCTGATGAAATGTTAATTTCATTTTTCTCTTCCGCTGCTCCGTAAAATGCATTCAGTGGATTCATCCTTCCCACTCTCAGACTAACACTTGAGCAGAATCCTAGGGACTTTTCTACTGAAGCAACCATTTCAGAGTCTCCCAAGAATTAAAGTGTGCTGTCTGGGGACAAAAGAAACTCCCATCTGGTTATAACAATAAATCTCCTGCTATGCCAGCGAGGTCTGCTGCATGCTGGACCCCTGTAGCAACCCTGCAGGACGTTGGCTGGCGTCTTTTCTCTTTCCTTATGCCCAACAGCTGGCCAGCTTCTCATCCCTCCAAGATCAAAGCAAGTGGAGGGGCTGTGGAAGTCCTATCTGGGAGTTGTAAATTAGAGTGAAATATGCCAGAACGAACCCCCAAAATCTGTCTCCAAGCAGCACACACCATTCCTTACAGCCTGGAGCTGAATCAATATTTTAATAAGTAAGAAAGGAGTGGGACCAGGTATTTCCATCTCTGTTCCACAGAAGAGGAAATTTAAACTAAAGCAATGGTTTAAGACACAGCAGCAGGAAAATTACTCTTTCTAATGATCACTTTCCAAAAGCTTATGTCTCAGCCCCTCCTTTTTTATTAACTTTTATTGTTTACTGTCCTTACACTGACATATAATGTTGTGTGTGTTGTACATGTACAGAAGCTTTCTCAGTTATACATACACATCTATCTGCTCATCTTTGGATTCTTTTCCCATATGGGTTATTACAGAGTGTTGATAGACTTCCCTTGGTATACATAGGTTGTTACTGACTATTTTATATGTAATAACTTGTATTTGTTAATTCCAACCTCCTAATGTACCCCTTGTGCCCTTCTTTATTCTTTAGTAAGTTTGATTTTTAAGTCCCTGAGTCCATTTATGTTCTCTCAATTAATTATTTTTAGATTCCATCTATAAGTAACATGATATTTTTCTTTCTGGACAAATGGAGTATATTTCCTGCCATATTTCTGGTTTCCTTTCTGGAAAAGGAATATTTCCTGCCATATTCCTGGTTCTGACTTTCTTCACTTAGTTTGATCATCCATAGTTTTAGCTATGCTCCTGAAAATCATATTTCATTCTTTCTCGTGGCTGTTATATCCTACACTCTATACATGGGTCCTTTCATGTACTCATTTTCCTTCTACTGATGGCTCACTCGTAATTTGAATGTGTGCCTTGTTCAGAACTTTAATTTGGTTCCTTATTTTATTTTTGTAGGCACACATAGATTTCTAGAAGCGTCTGTTCATTTCCAGTTACTGAAGGCTTATTTTTCTCTTATATGTGTGTGTGTGAGTCACTCAGTCGTGTCTGACTCTTTATGGCCCCATGGACTATAGCCCCGCCAGGCTCCTCTGTCCATGGAATTCTCCAGGCAAGAATACTGGAGTGGGTTGCCACTCCTTTCTTCAGGGGAAGATCCAGGAAGAAATGGCAACCCACTTCCTGGTCCAGGGATTGAACCCGGGTCTCCTGCACAGAAGGCAGATTGCCGTCTGAGCCACCAGGGTACAGATCTAATAAAACCAAGGCATTTGAGCACTAGAAAGGGCATTGAGTAATGAAATCTGACACTCCCTCACCCAGTGGGCAATCCCTTCCCCCGTCCTGACAGATCCCCCAGTACTGGCTTGATCTACTTCTGGAAGCAAACCTACTTTCTCTTCCTCAGATATCTGAGGAATGTCCTCAGAACTGACCAAGGCTGCTTTTTCGCCAGGTGAAAAAAAAATTCCCTGTTCCTCATATGGACTGGTACTCAGACCCTCATCATCCCATCACCTTCCTCAGGATCCTCTGAAGTTGGTCTCTGTCCTCTATAAAGGAGCCACCCTGGATATGACCCTGAGTAGAGTGGTCCCCACTTCCTCTGACTCAAATGTCACAGGTTTGTAGATGGTAGTGGTTAAAGGCCCATGTTGTAATCCCAGCTCTATACTTGCTGCCTATATGATCTTAGACAAATTTCTTAATCCTTCTGTGCCTTAGTCTCAACATCTATTAAATGGCAATGGTGATGAGAAATGGAGTATTTCCTGCCATATCAGAAAACAAGAATGTCACAGTCATCAGCAATTGCAGCCACCACAGATGGTGAGCTGGTGAGCCTGAGGAAAGTCAGGATGTAAAAACACAGGATACTGGTCCCAGACAGCTGAGGTGCATATCAAAGGAATGATTTCAGTAAGCCCAGAATCTTGCATCTTACCATACATAGAAAAGCGCTAAATTCCTTAACTTGGAATATTAATTTTCTTTAGTTAACAATCATCATTTGATATTATGACTACCTGCTCTTTGTTGCAAAAATTTACATAGCCTGCCCCCCATGCCACCTCCTCAGAGCAGTTCTCTCAGGGTTACTTGAGATGCTGCCTCCCAGACTTAAGTCCTAAAAATTTCCACCAAATCAAACATAACTCTCAACTTTTAGGTTGTGAAAATCTTTAAAGTCAACAGTGATAATTACATTCCCTACTTCATGAGGGTCCGACAGGATTGAGAAAACAACTGTGAAACACTTACAACTCTACTTGGCACATAATCAGCTCCATGCAAATATCTATTTGCTTTGTTTTCTTTTCTAAATCCTGTTCTCATCACTGCAACCCATGTTTGCTCTTGAGCAGCTACTTTTCACGTTGGCCTGGTGGGCTGCTGGGACCCTCAGGCTACTTCCCTCACATGAACTGCAGCTTAGCAGAGACACCCCATCCTTTACTTATTTCATTGATCCCAAATGCAGAAGACCTTCAACCATACTGTGAGCTCAACATTATATCTCTTGTCTGGAGATGGGTCTTATAGAGGATCCTACAGAAAAATGTCCCCTCTATATCTGTCTCATGATGAGTGACACTAGGGAGGTGTAGAGATGGAGCCCTGTGGTGTGTCCACTCTTCCCACACCTTATCCTTAGGGACAGTATGCCTCTGTAAAGGCAGGACACACATCTATGATGCGGGTGGGAGGCAGTGACTGAGTTATTCACAGGTCCCTAGCTGTGAAATGTAAACAACTATAGCCACCTAGCTGTGGGGACCAAAGGAAGCTGTGCAGTAGGAAGCACACAGCCAAGTGGTCATCAGACCCACAACATTAGAAGATCAAAAATAAAGGATTTGGAGAGGAATTCTGATTGGTAAAATACCTCAACACCTGGGGGCCTAGAGAAATGGGCAGGAGGAAGACTACATTTTCCAGAAGATGCTGATGATATTATTTCCAAGTAAAAGATGACCCCACGATGAGCAGAGGAAGTTAGCCTGGAAGGAACAGGGTTAGGTATGCACACCCATGCAGAGGCAGTGGGATAAACCACACACACACACACACAAAACATTCATAACCCAATACTTGCCCTTGTACATACAGTGAGTGCACTCTGATCCTTTCTCATCCCTTCTATTGAATTTCATGTTTTAAAAAAGGCTGGTGCAACTCACTACACTGATAGCATTTCACTGATGAGTCACAACCCACAGCTGAAAAACAGTAGATACCGCGTGCCCCAATCCACAGCCCCACTAGACTGCTAGAAAAGAGAAAAAAGTTCATTTGGCATACACTCATTTTGTAAATCCTTTCCCTGGTGCTCCTGAGCTAGCTTCTCTAAGAATTTATTCTGGAGGGTTGCCAGGATTCAGTGTTTCCTTCTTTTGAAGTCTACGGGCTCCGCTACCATCTCTCAAGCCTGCTCTGAGGGACTGTGAGCTAGGATGCCTGCTACTTGAACCTCAGCTCAGTTTCAGGGTTTCTGGATCCTCTTAAAGGGGCTTGGGAAGGGCTTGCCCTTCCTTTATTGAAGAGAAGGAAGCAGACTGGGGCAACACTGCCTTCTCCTGTCACCTGTTAATATCACCTCATCCTTCATAAACACTGGGTACTCTTCCTGATAAGAACACAACTATTTGTTGTCAGGCACTCCAGCACCTGGCTACCTCTCCTGCACTCTGGACCTTATTCTTGTAGCCTTGGTCTTTCTTGCCTGCATTTTAGGTGATGCACCCCCACTGGATCACAGTCTTAGATTCCAGACCTCGCTTCCCCACTGTTAACTGGGGGTTTGGCTGGGAAATCTTATTTAATATCTCAATCTAATTTTCTTCACGTGTAAAGTGGAAATATGATCGTCTACCTTTGGGATTTTATCAGAATTAATTTATACATGGGAGTTCCTTTCTCCTCCCTGGAGTAGCAGGGAGACTTTCCCCAAGCTCCCTTTGCTTTCAGAACACAATTGCAGGCTTCGATTTTGTTAGATGAAATCCAGAGTATCATCTGCGATTGCCCGTGTTATCTAAACCGCGGCGGAAACCACAAAGCCTCCGAACAAGTTTCTAATGAGGCGACTCTCTTCCTCAATTAAATACACAGAAACGATGGGGAGAAAACCGAACCCGGTGTTTCCCTCTAAACAGTAAAATGACCTGCAGGCAGGCGCCTGGGCACAAGCAAAATGAATTAACAGCAGTCAAACCCGCGTTATTCCGGGAGCCCAGCCCACGGCCAGGGGCGCGCACCCGCCGCGCGTTCCGCCGGGACAGGCAGGTCTCCCGCGCCGGGTTGGGGGCTCTCTCGGTTGCTGGGGACATCCGGACTGGCCGGCCAGAACAAGGAAAGTTCTCCCCCTGCCCCGGCGGGAGAAGGTGTGACCTATCATTGAGTGCAAGCGAGACCCACCACCCCAGCCCCGGACGCCGCGCTCTTTGCTTTTTCGGAAGCCCTCCGACAGGACGCGCACAGCAATCGGCTTCCAGGAAGGCTCTGAACTTGGGTCCACTCCACGCGTCCGCACTCTCGCCCCGGGCACCCTCGAGCAGCAGATCTCTCTCCCCACTCCCTTCCACTCAAACCACCCCCGCCCGCAAACGAAAAACCACCCCCTCGCAACCTCAGCAAGCCCGACCGTCCGTGGCAGCCAGAGCCTCAAGCCCCCGAGTCCCGTGCCGCCCGCGGTTACCGGCTCCTGCGAGGTGCGTGAGCGCGGCCGCCGCCTTCAGCTGTCTGGCCGGCCGGGCGCTCCCGGCGCTGCGGTGCGGCGGGGACGCGCGCTCCCGACCTGCGGCGGAGGCGGCGTGGCGCCGTCCCCCCACCCCCACCGAGTTCAAGGGCGCCCCGCCGGAGCAGCCAGCTCTGCCGAACGCTCGTGCCCTGGGTTCGGGGGTGGCACTCACGCACCTTCTGGATGACAGCCTGTCGCGAGGAAGCGAAAAGGACCCGAGTGCATTGTTAGCCCTCCCGGGGCTCGGCAGTGCGCCCCCTTGGCCAACTTTAGGTAACCGGAGCCCGCGAGCTGAGCGAGGAGTGAGGCGGTCTAGGAGGGGCTTAGGAAAAGTCCTCAGTACTGGGTTCAGGTTCAGTTACGCTGGGACTGGCCATCGTGAGCTACTTTAAGACCTCACATTGTTCTCCTCATGCCTGCCTGCACCGGGTCTCCCAGACAGGGCCCCCCAAAGATGGGAGCGAAACAGGAGTGGTTTCAAGTTAGAGACCTAGTTCCCTCCTACCTTCCAGTAAATACTTATTGAGCCCTTATTCCGTTCCGGTCCCGATCGGGCGATGGGAAGCAGCCCCCTGGGGCCTATATTCCAGGGAAAAGACAGGCAATCAACAGAACAAATAAGAACGTGTCCTGTGTTGGATTGCGACAAGTGCTACAGAGAAGAAATAACTCAGGAAAAGGACAGAGAACGTTGATGATGAGGGATGCAGTATTAAAGCAGGGAATTGGAGATGACCTCCCCGTAGGGCTTGCCTTCAAGTTCAGGAGGACTGGCGCCCTGAAAGCCAAGTGGAACCAGCGTTGTATTGCAGTGGGGTAAATGCAGCGAGAGCAGCAGGCAGGGAGGTTGGTGATTCTGATTAACTCCATCTCTTGGCGCCAGAAAAGGATTCCTAGAAATGACAGCTGATTCTTTTTTTTTTTTTTAAGCTAGTTTCATCACTCCATGTAAAATGAAGTGTTTTGCAAACCACCCTTCCAGCTATATTCCTCAACCTTGGCCATAGGCAGTTTAATTCTAAATGGCATAATGTGACCATCTGTGATGAGATGCACTAGTCCTTCCGTAATTCTCCATGTTGGTTACACATTCCTGGTCACCGGGAAGTAATCCATCGCCCGCACAGAAGAGCCCGTACTGCCCCCTTGATGGTATGGGATGCAGCAAATGCAATCAGAGCATGGACCCTCAGAATGACTAGTGCTGAGAGGACATGTTGCAAACAGACCCATCTCTGCCTTAGCTGTCAGAGTTGGGTGGTGTCTTTTGGGCAGAGGGCCAAAGACTCCTGAAAACAAGGGCATATCTTACTGTGTGGAAAAGGCCACTAACCCTCAGTTTCAGAGGCTGAAACTGCAGCATTCAGTGGAAGCAATATCAACAATGGTACGGCAGAGCTCCCGTTACTCTCCTGAGCATCTCTGCCTCCTCATCAGCGCAGTTCAGTTACTCAGCCGTCTGATTCTTTGTGACCCCATGGGCTGCAGCAGGCCAGACTTCCCTGTCCATCACCAACTCCTGGAGCTTGCTCAAATTCTTGTCCATTGAGTCGGTGATGCCATCTAACCATCTCATCCTCTGTCGTCCCCTTTTCCTCCTGCCCTCAATCTTTCCCAGCATCAGGATCTTTTCCAGTGAGTCAGTTCTTCACATCAGGTGGCCAAAATATTGGTGTTTCGGCTTCAGCATCAGTCCTTCCAATGAATATTCAGGATTGAGTTCCCTTAGGATTGACTGTTTGGTCTCCTTGCAGTCCAAGGGACTCTCAAGAGTCTTCTCCAACAAGACAGTTCGAAAGCATCAGTTATTCGATCCTCAGCTTTCTTCACCGTCCAACTCTCACATCCATACGTGACTACTGGAAAAACCATAGCTTTGACTCAGTGGACCTTTGTTGGCAAAGTAATGTCTTTACTTTTAAACATGCTGTCTAGATTGGTCTTAGCTTTTCTGCCAAGGAGCAGTGTCTTTTAATTTCATGGCTGCAGTCACCATCTGCAGTGATTTTGGAGCCCAAGAAAATAAAGTCTCACTGTTTCCATTGTTTCCCCATCTATTTGCCATGAGGTGATGGGACCAGATGCCATGATCTTAGTTTTTTGAATGTTGAGCTTTAAGCCAGCTTTTCCACTCCTCCTTCACTTTCATCAAGAAGCTCTTTAGTTCTTCTTCACTTTCTGCCATAAGGTTGGTATCATCTGTGTATTTGAGGTTATTGATAGTTCATGCCTCCCCATGGCTGCATCTATTTCCTTATTCCTTCTCCCAGTGTCAGCAATATCTTCCTCCTTTTCTTCAAAGTCCATCTCAAATGCCACTTTTTTCAGGAACCCTTCCTCACTGCCCCAGCTACAAACGAACTCTTATTCTAAAATCTGATCCCTCTTTATGGCACCTGTCATTTTAGAGTTTAACTCTAAAATAAGCTCCTCCTATTCCTCCGTAGGCTTGTTTTATATTAAATTTTTCCACAAGTCCCAGGTTAGTGCCTTGTAACTGGCAGACATTTAATGAGTTTTTTGTTAATAAATCTAGAAGAACACAGCTTCGTTTTCCCTTTTTAAGTTGACATATAGTTAATGTACAATATTATGTAAGTTACAGGTATACTGTATACTGATTCACAATATTTAAACATTATACTCCATTTATAGTTATTATAAAGCATTGCCTGCATCCCCCATGTTGTATAATATATCCTTGTAACTTATAATATATAATGGATTATACCTCTTAATCCCCTGTCCCTGTATTGCCCCTTCCCCTTCTCTCTCCCTGCTGGTAACCACAAGTTTGTTCTCTGTACCTGTGAGTTGTTTCTTTTTTGTTATTCAGTATATTCACTAGTTTGTTGTACTTTTTTTATTCCACATATAAGTGATATTGTACAGTATTTGTCTTTCTCTGTCCACTGTCCCTTAATTTTGTCACTTCATTCCATAACACCTTTCAAGCTCACAGAAGTTTAGTGATAGGACTTATATATGGCCATAGCTGTTGTCTGTCAATACAAACTGACAACAATTTACTTTGAAGTCAATTCAATTTGCCCCATTTTGAAGTGGGAAAACTGAGGTTTATGAGTAATGTCCCCACCATGAGACTTGAGTTGAGATTTAAACTCAGCTCATTGCCAGAGCTGAGATTTAAACCCAGGGCTGTTTGACTCCAAAGTGCATGCCCTTCACCACAAACTTATGCATCTCCTCACTCAGTCATGTATTCACACATGCATTCATTCATTGAGTGATCAACAAATGTTTCTATTTACTGTACTCAGCTCTGCAGTAGGTGCTGAGATAAAACAATCAGACTTTAGGGTTAGAAATCTTATAAAAGAGATGCATAGAGGCCCTACAGGAGTGATTTGTTGAACGTTAGGCGATGACAATAGGGATTCACTGAGATAAAATGTAATTTTAATTTTGGAGGATACATCATATTTGATAGAATGATATTTAAAAAAAGCATATGGTAGAAGAGTGAAGAGCACATGCAAAAATATGGAAATGTGAGAAAACGTGCATTCAGAGAAGGGCTTCAGCCATTCAGGAGGGCTGCAGCATAGTGAAGGAGGTACTGAGATGGGGCTGACAAGGTAAGCAAAGCAAACCACAGGTGGTCCATGCATTATCTCCATGGAGTCAGTTATCCCCTGAACATGTATAAAAATCATGGATGACTAAGTACAAAAACTTTGTGCAGGAGAGGTTTGTGATATTTAGTTAGAATCTCAAAGGGGCTGACTGACCTGCAGCTGGGATGTAGGGAAATCAGTTCCCCTCACCATGGCCTCCTGTCCAATCCACAGACCACAGGCCATGGTAAGGGGAACTTACCAAGGGGTTGCAACATCAGCCAGGATGCTCTGTATACCTGGGCAGGGGTGTAAGGCTGAGCCCTGCCAAATCACCTCAAAACATGCAGTGGTGCTGCCAATCCTGGGCAAGGATGGCTGGACCGTGACCCTCTCAGCATCTTCACCCCAGTATGCTCTCAAGACAAAAGGAGCAGGTAGCTGACTGGCATCTTTATAGGAAGAGATTAAGACACAGAGAGAGACCAGGGGCACTCGTGTACAGAGGGACCACCGCGGGGAGAGGCAGTAAGAGGATAGACCTCTGGAAGCCAAGGAGAGTGACCTGGAACAGACCTTCTGTTTTCATTCTTCAGAGGAAACCAAGCCAGAGGGCCCCCTGATCTTGGCATTTTAGTCTCCAGAACTAGGAGAACAAAATTTTGTTCTTTAAGCCATCCAGTCTGTGGTGTTTTTTTATGGTAGCCTTAGCAGACTCATAGGTTAACAAAACACAAATTCACACCTCAAAGATAAAGCTTTTAAGAATTTCAATATGGTGACCACAGAGCATTAAATCTCAAACGAGGCCCTCTGAAGTGTGGAGTTCCAGGCCCCATGCTGGCCACATGTCCATGATGCCAGATCTTGGAAATATGGGAACAATGATCTGAAGACAACTTGGGATTCATCAGCAGAGAGATGAGGTGAAAGCCATGAGAAGGGGTGAGAGTGCTTCCTAGAAATGTGAAATGAAAACACCAGAGGGCCAGTATTGGAAGCTAGAAAGGAAGGAGGGGATAGAAGGAAGAAGACAGAGAAAAAGCAACTAGAGAAATCAGGGGTGGATGAGAGGAAGAAGGTGACCCCTAATGGAGAAATGAGCACTAGGGTCTAAGGCTCGAGGTCATGGGACTAAGAAGCAAAGACCATTGACCTTTGCATGAAGGTCATGTGGTGGAAATTGAGGCCAGGTTGCTGCTGGATCAGGAATAAGGGCTGCAGGTGCAGGCTACCCTTCTAAGGAGGCTGGGGGGTGGGGGTAGGGTGGGACTGCCGACAACCTTGGTGCAGGGCTATGAAGACCCAAGGGACAGGAGACTGAAAGCCAGCCCACACTCTGTCACTAAGGCATGTCAGCCTGCAGGAAGGGCTGATGGAAAGTCTTCTGACAAAGACACCTAATGGCCTCACCTTGAATAATAGAGCTGCAGCTAGACCTTTGTGTGTGGGTGTATTTATTATCTGCATCCCCTCACTGGTTCCATGAGAGCAACAACTCTTCTGTCTCCATCTGGTGCTGGCAGCAATACTGACACATAGGAGGCCCAGAAACACATGTTCCAGAAATGAATGGGATACAGAGTTAAGGGAAAAGTTGCTTGTGTTTTGTCTTTATCTTGTTTCCAACAAAAGAGACTTAAACCTGTTTATCGATTGAGAGCAAAGACCAAGAAGGAAGAAAGAAGTTGAAGGCAGAGTTGAGAGAGGAAATCATTGATGAAATAAGACACTAGAGAATAGAGTAAGAAAATCAATCAAAATAACAGCCAGAGGTTAAAAAAAATTATCTGAATTGCCTTTGAGAAATTCAG